TTGTTTGTTGTTAGATACTTGCCTGTTGGAAATATGTGTCTGCTCGATATATTTGCTTTTGTTTAGATACTTGCCTGTTGGAAATATGTGTCTGCTCGATATATTTGCTTGTTGTTAGATACTTGCCTGTTGGAAATATGTGTCTGCTCGATATATTTGTTTGTTGTTAGATACTTGCCTGTTGGAAATATGTGTCTGCTCGATATATTTGTTTGTTGTTAGATACTTGCCTGTTGGAAATATGTGTCTGCTCGATATATTTGTTTGTTGTTAGATACTTGCCTGTTGGAAATATGTGTCTGCTCGATATATTTGCTTGTTGTTGGATACTTGCCTGTTGGAAATATGTGTCTGCTCGATATATTTTGTTTGTTGTTAGATACTTGCCTGTATTGGAAATATGTGTCTGCTCGATATATTTGTTTGTTGTTAGATACTTGCCTGTTGGAAATATGTGTCTGCTCGATATATTTGCTTTTTGTTTAGATACTTGCCTGTTGGAAATATGTGTCTGCTCGATATATTTGTTTGTTGTTAGATACTTGCCTGTTGGGAAATATGTGGTCTGCTCGATATATTTTGTTTGTTGTTAGATACTTGCCTGTTGGAAATATGTGTCTTCTCGATATATTTGTTTGTTGTTAGATACTTGCCTGTTGGAAATATGTGTCTGCTCGATATATTTGTTTGTTGTTAGATACTTGCCTGTTGGAAATATGTGTCTGCTCGATATATTTGTTTGTTGTTAGATACTTGCCTGTTGGAAATATGTGTCTGCTCGATATATTTGTTTGTTGTTAGATACTTGCCTGTTGGAAATATGTGTCTGCTCGATATATTTGTTTGTTGTTAGATACTTGCCTGTTGGAAATATGTGTCTGCTCGATATATTTGCTTTTGTTTAGATACTTGCCTGTTGGAAATATGTGTCTGCTCGATATATTTGTTTGTTGTTGGATACTTGCCTGTTGGAAATATGTGTCTGCTCGATATATTTGTTTGTTGTTAGATACTTGCCTGTTGGAAATATGTGTCTGCTCGATATATTTGCTTTTGTTTAGATACTTGCCTGTTGGAAATATGTGTCTGCTCGATATATTTGTTTGTTGTTAGATACTTGCCTGTTGGAAATATGTGTCTGCTCGATATATTTGCTTGTTGTTAGATACTTGCCTGTTGGAAATATGTGTCTGCTCGATATATTTGCTTTTGTTTAGATACTTGCCTGTTGGAAATATGTGTCTGCTCGATATATTTGTTTGTTGTTAGATACTTGCCTGTTGGAAATATGTGTCTGCTCGATATATTTGTTTGTTGTTAGATACTTGCCTGTTGGAAATATGTGTCTGCTCGATATATGTGTTTGTTGTTAGATACTTGCCTGTTGGAAATATGTGTCTGCTCGATATATTTGTTTGTCGTTAGATACTTGCCTGTTTGATATTGTTTGTTTGACTATTTGCCTGTTACCAACATCGTTGTCTTTGCCCCCACCACATAGCAACTGGGAGAAAAACCACATTTTGTGTATCTACGTTATCCTCTGCTTTATATCAGTTTCTTTGTTATTTTAATTCATTATGTCATAATTAAATATTTATTTCCGAAATAACTAAAACATACACCCTATTTGACAGGAAGGGTTGAAGTTGAATGTTGAATTAAGAATCGACATCATAGCATATGGGACACTCCCATAAGTGCTCAGTCTCCATCTTCAGCAGCAAGCGTAATGTTCCAATTTCAGTGGTTCCAGTAACTGTCTGATTGTATATATGTCTATCATCCTTCCCCTGAGTGTTGAGCTTTGGCAAGATCCCCTGGTAACTCATCGCAGCGCCATTCTTCTCAGACCGTAATGATGTATCTGCGCCTACGCACTGTTCACCTGTTCCCCATGGGCGCTCACACTATCTAACTTGTCATACATCAACTCACAACCAAGTGATGGAGCCAGCCAGTCTATCTGCCTGCTCATTTCCAAACACACCGGCATGACCTTGAGAAATTATCCAAAGGATGCTAACTACCGAGACCTCTGAAGTGGGTTGAAGTAACCGTAAGTACAGAATGAGTTGATGTATAAACTGACTAGCCCATAATGGAATTAAGTAAATGTTACTTTCCGTCAGGTGCATTATGTATATAGGACTAGACTTATATTTTATAGACCAATCGTCACTCGGTAGATGATGTAGTCAACATTACACCGGTCGCCTCGACTTCCTAGGACGATACCTGTTCAAGGCTGGGTCGATCTTGGAGCTAAGGTCATTTTTGATAAATGTCTGGTTCTACGGGAAATTTAAGCCACCACCTTCCGATCCGCAGGCGAGCGTCGATCCGCTTCAGGAGCATAAAGAGTTAAAGAAACTAAAGCAAAGAAGCAGGAACCCACAAACGCATGGTGAGTTACTTGGTACTGAAAAAGTAAGCACGTCACCACTGCTATCATCATCATTACCATCTTGTGTCCGCCTGAGGGGAGAGTGTCCTATGTATTCTGTATACATTCGACTAGCGGCTTCTGCTTATTATAGCAAAGTATGTAGTAATCACGCCTGTGTGGCCTCTTCCCCTTCACTGACAACATTATGAAAAGATATCAAATCAAATAAAACAGAATTAGTCAGTCTCACACTATAACACTCACAAACGCAAAGTCAACGTTGCGGTTAAAAATTCTTTATCAGCACCTTACATAGACAATTTCACAAATACGGAAAAAAAATACACAAAATTACTTCACTGAGGTATCTCAGAAGGAAATTACGTTTCTGTCTGGCCAGTTGAAGCCCTGACACTTGTGTGCCTCCAGCGTGCACTTAAAGCATCCATGATCCACAGGTCTACAATAAGACGGACTGTATCCTTTCTCGTCACACACATAGTAATCGGTATGTGAGGCTAGATGAGTACATTTTACCACGGCCCACGAGAGGATTATTCAGCGTACAAACAAGACTAAAATGCCCTTCCTCATCCACACAGAGATGCATAAATCACTAATGCCATAATTATTTTTAAATTGCACTGGGTCACATTTGCAAAAATGATAAAATGAGAGCAGCTGCTTTTATAAAAGATGTGAAGAACAAACACGAGACTGTTCTCTATCATGAGCACTATTTGATCTGGGAACACAAAACATTGTATCGAGGGCACCAGCCACTCAGGCACCCCTGGAACACAACGTTTTTGTCTCTGGTGACAATCTCAGATTAGGACAACATCGAGAGGGTCTCCTGCCACTGGCAGCGCCAGGCAATCTGTGAGGATTTAACGACGCAGCATCTCACGTGCATAGTGTATATACACGTGGGAATAGATAGGCAGGCAGGCAGGCAGGCAGACAGAGAGACAGAGAGACAGAGAGA